ATTCCCCCAGTTGCCAATACTCATGGCATGGCAACCCGCGGGAAGACTGGGTACCGGCAACCTCGACTTGCTATGCACACCGAGGCCCTGTCTCCCCTACCACGCTCCTGCCGTGATGCTCTCGCCGATCCTCACTGGCGCAGGGCCATGGAAGAAGAACATACTGCCCTCTTGGACAATGACACTTGGGAACTTGTTCCCCGGCCTGCCAAGAAAAATGTGGTCACCGGGAAGTGGATTTTCAAGCACAAGTTTCATGCTGATGGCTCCCTGGACAGGTATAAGGCTCGCTGGGTTCTTCGCGGGTTCACTCAGCGTCCCGGCATCGACTACGATGAGACATTCAGCCCCGTTGTGAAGCCCGCTACTGTTCGCACTGTCCTCACCTTGGCTCACTCTCGGGATTGGCCCATCCATCAGCTTGATGTGAAGAACGCATTCCTCCACGGTACCTTGTCAGAGACTGTCTACTGCTCCCAACCCACTGGATTTGCTGATTTTGCCTTTCCGGACCATGTCTGCAGACTCCACAAATCCCTCTATGGACTAAAGCAGGCTCCGCGTGCGTGGTACAGCCGGTTTGCCTACTTCCTACTGTCTCTCGGATTCACTGAAGCAAAGTCAGACACCTCTCTGTTCATATATTGCCGTGGCACGGAGATGGTCTACTTACTTCTCTATGTGGACGACATTGTACTCACTGCCTCCTCCGAGCAGCTCCTCCACCGTGTGATTATGGCTCTGAAGAATGAATTTGCCATGAAGGATCTTGGCCCTCTGCACCACTTTCTCGGCGTGGCAGTTCAGCGCACCAAGGACACTCTCCTTCTTTCTCAGCGGCAATACATTCTGGACATTCTTGGTCGGCACGGCATGAGTGACTGCAAACCTTGCTCCACTCCGGTTGACACTTGTGCCAAAGTCTCTGCAGATAATGGTCCTCCCGTGGCAGACCCCACCGCCTACCGCAGCCTTGCAGGCGCCCTGCAGTACTTGACTTTCACAAGGCCTGACATTGCCTATGCTGTTCAACAAATCTGCCTTTATATGCATGACCCCCGGGAAGTTCACCTGGTTGCAGCCAAGAGGATTCTTCGGTACCTTCAGGGCACCGTTGACTATGGTTTGATCATACCCCGTTCTGCACCAACTCAGCTCATTGTGTACACCGACGCTGACTGGGCTGGCTGCCCTGACACTCGCCGCTCCACCTCAGGATATGCTGTCTTCCTCGGTGGCAGCCTTGTCTCTTGGTCATCCAAGCGGCAACCCACGGTCTCTCGGTCCAGCGCCGAGGCCGAATACCGCGCCGTCGCCAACGGAGTCGCCGAAGTCGTGTGGCTGCAGCAGCTTCTTCAGGAACTTCACCACCACCTGAAGACCGCCTCCCTCGTCTACTGCGACAACATCAACGCCGTCTACCTCTCCTCCAACCCTATTCAACATCAGCGCACTAAGCACGTGGAGATCGACCTTCATTTTGTCCGTGAACGGGTGGCCATTGGTGCTGTTCGTGTTCTCCATGTGCCCACCACGTCGCAATTCGCTGATGTCTTCACCAAGGGACTACCCTCCTCCGTCTTCACCGATTTTCGCTCCAATCTGAATGTTCGTTCTACCGACGTTCAACTTGCGGGGGGATGTTAGAATTAATTATATGCCAACTGTAATCTCTTCTCCCTATGCGCCACCTCTGGCTGATTAGGCCCTTTGGGCTCCCCTCTCTCTCCTATATATATGTGTGTAATCACCCCTGTAATCAAGATAATAGAGTCTATTGACTATTCTCTAATAGAGACAAAAAGGCCTAGGTCACGATAAAGCATTGTATTGATATTGTTTACTTAAACACATGAATAAAGCATTGTATTGATACCTGAACAAACCCACTTATAATCTCGAACTGATCGTGAAGAAGTTAGGTCACGATAATTATTTGTTTATTAAGCATTAGCGTCATCTGGTATGCCCTAGAAAACAAAGGATTAATTTGCTGAAGCTATCGGCAAACTAAAAAGAACAGAGAATGAGTATTTAATTGTATGAGAGAACAGTATACGTTACCAAATTCAGGAATGCAAGGCTCTATCTTTGAACGGCGAGAGGGATCGAACCACTTCTTCCTGGTTCTGGTGAAGGCAGAGGTCTATAAAATTCTGGGACTACATAGTAGAAATTAGAAACTGGAGTTAAACGAACCATCATTCGCACTATGTGATGTACACCATTGTATAGAATGATAACCACACCATCTGTGCAACCTGTATTTACCCCCCAAAACTTGAAAATGCTGATAGGATCTTCCAGGTACCTGCCAACAATAATCAGAGGCTTTTCTCTTAGAAGATCGACATGCAAGGAGTAACCCGCAGACAGGATGGCAATTTACTATGAACCAATCTTTTTTTAAAGCTTTTCTTCACATGGCAAGCTCGTTAGTAGTGTGTATAGTATAAAAATCCCCCCAAAAAATGTAATAGATAGTTAACATGCAACAATAAGTGGACATATTCTAGCAAGGCTAAACATATATGTATACCTGCAGGCCAATTGCTTTCCAAAGAAAGGAGATTTAGCACAACCCCTGTCCACGCATTAAAAATAGTCACATAGATGAGGCACTGAAAACGGTCGCATAGATCAGGCAGAACAAATGAAATAATGTATTAACTCGTGCTAAAAAAATGGAGGCATATTTGGCAGAACCAAACTCCCTGAACCTTTTTCCCTGGTTCATATTTGCACAAACAAGGTCTATGCTGTAAGATATGAGGTTCATCAAGATAGAGAGTGAGGGCAAGAGAGAGGGGAGTTGGGAGTTTACCTCGTCGTCCACGCAGCCGCAGCCGCTGTCGTCGGCAAGCGTCTCCACGCGGGAGCAGGGCACCACCACCAGCGATGGGGTCGGTGCTAGGTGGCCGTGACCTCCAGCACAAGCAGGCAGCTAGGGTTTCTTGTAGCACATGAACACAGGTGGAGCAGAGGGAGGAGGCACCGCCGGGGAGCAGCCACGTCGTGGCCAGGGACGGGCACCGCCGGCGCCCACGAGCGGTGCTGCACCGCAGCCTTGGGGTGCCGCTGCGCTGTGAACCGGCGGTGAGGGCATGGCCAGCACGGTGCGACTCGAGGGAGAGAGGAGGAGGAGGAGGTCGGCCGCAGCCGCCGTGGCCGCCCGCGCCAGCCGTCGCTGCCCTGTCCGCGCGGGGATCGTAAGGGAGAGGGAGAGACCGACGGGTGAGGGAGAGAGGAAGTTGGGAGAGGAATCTGGAAGGAGAAGTGGAAGCTAAGTATATATTTGTCTCTCTGGATTCGGACGAGAAGCCGGAGAAGCTGAAGAGAAGCAGTGGAGAAGACGAATAAGCCAGAGAGAACGAGGAGAAGCCACTCTGGACAAGAATTGGCTTCAAACAATCGGGGCCGTAGGATTCAAGATCAAACGGAGGAGACCAATGGAGACGACGTGGATAGGGCTTCTGGCCAGGAAGCTGTCGCAATTTGTAGTTTCTAATGAATTGTTTCTTGTACGATTTGTGGACAAGCATGCACCAGCGCTGTTGCTGGATTCCTTTTTTTTCAGTGTCTATCAGTGCCGGGTGGAGTACCGTCAGTGGTATAAAGAGCCATCACTTGCGGTTTCTAGTAACCGGTAGTGACGTGAAACCCCCATCACTACGGAATGCCACTGTCGATTCAAGATCCGGCAGTGAAGGGGGGTTTTGAACCGATAGTGATGTGAAGAACTGGGGTAGCGAACAAGCGAAGCAACAAGATAGTGTGTTGCGGGCGGTTGTCATCGTGCCCACACCTAGGCCAGGCTAGGGCCTCATGCCACGCTACCGTTGCTAGTCGCCGACAAGTTGCCAGGGAGGAGAGAAGATAGAGTAGTGAGGAGGAAGAAGATAGCGTGAAGGGCATAATAGACATTTCATCTCTACTTTCTCTCTCCTAATGTTGGATAAATAATTATCTCAATGATGTCCTCGACCAAGGTACACGCTTTTATAATGGACTGAAAAAAAATTAGATTAGCAATGTGTATCAACAAATAAACTGAAGAACCGTCTCCCTAACCAAAATGTACCTTAAACAATCCGTGTTGCCCTTGAATTAATCGACCTAGCGAGACCACACCCTACTAGCACTGGCCAATGCAAGACAAAATGTGGCCTTGTGCATAGCTGCAGTGAAGTGGCACTTTAGGCCTGGTTTAGTTTCCAAAAATTTTCACCCAAAACTATCACATCAAATCTTGCGGCACATACATGGAGTATTAAATATAGACGAAAAAAAACTAATTGCACAGTTTGGTTGGAAATTGCGAGACGAATGTTTTAAGACTAATTAGTCTATGATTAGCCATAAGTGCTACAGTAACTAGCATGCGCTAATGATGGATTAATTAGGCTTAATAAATTCGTCTCACAGTTTCGAGACGAGCTATATAATTAGTTTTTTTATTAGTATCCGAAAACGCCTTCCGACATTCCCGAAACATCCGACGTAACATCCAAAATTTTTCATTTCGCGAACTAAACACAGCCTAGCCTGCACTGCAGCTGTCCGTTTCTTTTCATGAGAGGATCCATTCAATCAATCAATCCCTTTATATGCGGATGTGTGCAGGCCGTTCCCGTAGGCGCAGGCAGATTTGCTTTGCAGCACTAGCGAACTGAGCAGAGCTCTCTCACGGTCGCTCTCCGTCTCGCTCCCTCTTCGCCTGCCTCCGCCTGGACCTGCGGCCTACCACACCAGTACACCACACCCACCCTGTCTTCCATTCCTCCGTCCGTCGGATCCGGATGGGCCACCGCCATCTCTTCGTCCTCTCTCTGGGGCTGGCTCTTCTTCTCCTCATCGCCACCGCGCACGCCGGAGGCCATGCTTGAGGCGCCAGTGCCATCACCCAGCAGGTACACCTTCACTGACCACTGACTACTACTATTCGCACTCCATGGTTAGCTAGGCTTCAAGATCCTAGCGCTATTACATGACAGCAGGGCATGGACGACGAAGTTGTGGGGAGCATCATGAGGAGCATGGCCAGGTCGAGGCCGTCGAGCTACGCGGGGAGGTGCTGGTGGTGCGGGGGGCGCCGCTGCGAGGCCGTGCAGGTGCCCATCACGCCGCAGGAGCAGGGCAAGAGCCGCCGCCATGGGAGCGGCGGCGGCGGCGGATCGAGATCAACAAGAGATGGAAGCAGAGGAGGAGCGTCGTCGTCGGCTCATCAGCACGAGCGGCGGCGGCGGCCGTCGACGTCGTCCTACGACGACCACTCCAGCTACAAGCCTCTCAGCTGGAGATGCAATTGCGGCGGAGGCTAGCTGATATACCATGTTCGCTTTATCGTATAAGTCATGTTCGCTTTATCGTATAAGTCATGTTTATCAGACATGATACAGTGTTTTTCTCTCGAAACAAAACAGCATGAGCCGGCTTATAAGCCATGGAAACGATCCAGCGAACAGGGTGATAGAAACGATCCATCCAGCGAACAGGGTGATGGCAGCAGCTGAGCTTTTGTTCTATTAGCTTGATGGGCATGCATGCGTCATTTGTCCATACATGGATCGATCAGAGCGCGTCTTGTCTTGCAACATGATGATGTTTTGCATTCGTTGTCGACAGATCCAGTTGCTTGCAATGTGGATGTGGATATATAGTAGTAGAAGTAGCCTGCTATGTCTTGTGTGGCTCTATCCATTGCTTTTCTTAGCGACTTGTTAGCGAGTTTAATGAGGAGATGTGCTACTTAATCAATAAGCTAGTGTTTTGCTTAAGGCTACGACGAATGGATTTGCATTTTGTTACTTTATATAATAATAAGCATCATTAGACAAAAGTATATTTTTGTAAGAAAACTATTTGGAGACAAAAAAAATGTCTATGAACTTATCAAACTTACTTCCTCATTCCCATAAAAAGTGTAATTCTCACTGTTGTAGAAGTCAAACGTTATTAACTTTGGCCAAATATATATATAAGAAATATTAATATTTAGGATGCATAATTAGTATCATTAGATTAATCGTTGAATATATTTTCATAATAAATTTATTTGGAGATATAAATATTGCTAATTTTTTTTATATAAATCTAATTAAACTTAAGAAAGTTAACGAGCAAAAATCCCATAGAGACACTTTTCTTTAGGACGGAGGGAGTATGTAAGAAAATTTGACTTATTTCCACGCCTAGAGCCGCATTCCATCCATTTGTAATCGGGGAGTATACATATTGCTAAAAAAGGGAGTCATGGGGATGTTTGGATTATAGCCACACTCGGCCGCACCAGCTCTGGCGGCGCCACACTTCTGTGGCGGGGTTACTGGACGCCACTGCTGTGGCAGAATCCTAGTCTGTGAAAAGCTATGGCCGCCGAAGATAAATCACCAACCAAACATCACCCTCGGGAGCTGTGGCGGCCATAAAGTGTGGCGTGGCGCGCGATGGCAGCGCGCAGGCACTAACTTAAAACTTGCATTATCCCTCAAATAGAGTATGGCCATGTTTGCATCAGCTTAATTCTTTTATAGACTGCAGTAGCTGGAGCTATAATAGCTTGAATTGTTTAAAATAGACTATACGGTGAGGTGAGACGTGCGTTTATCTTAGGACGAATGAGGATGTACGGTGTACTTATGTCTTAAAGGGTTTTGAATGAATAAATATGGATTAATGGGGTCACTTAACTCGGTGTCATGCGTTAGTGTCAGCCGGGAGACAAGATTCGGATCTTGACTAGAGAGAGATGAATGCAATGCGGTGCAAGAGCGAGCAGGAGTACTTTACATGCAACGTCCTGTCTAATCCGATGAAGGCCGCACCCCCCCCCATGACCCATGCATGCATTTTATTAACTCCAGTGCAATGCAAAGCATTGCTTCCAGCCCTTCCTTCTCGTCTTCCTCCTGCGACGTCGCTGCAAAACGCCAACACGACGACGAGCGAGAGCTGGACTGGAGAGCTCACGGTCACAGCCTCACAGTGCAAGCAAAAGGTTGCAGCAACCGGGAAGCCGGATGAGCCACTGGCCTACTGCTGCTGCTGCTACTGTTCTAGTGAATTTGCAAGCTCCTGTCGGCCCTCCAGCTGCCGACAGGTTCTGTCCACCGCTGCTGCAGTTGATCTAGGGGATTGCAAGGTCCTGTCGGCCCTCCAGATGCCGACAGGTGCCCTAGGATCTGGGCCGAAAAAAATACACATGTGAAATTACGAAAATACCCTTATAAATATCAGTCCCAAAACTTCTCCCCATGTTGACTATGCAGCCCTCCGACGCCGCCGCAGGGCCGCCGACGCTGCGCACCAGTCGTCGTTTGCATGCGTGAGCTCTGAAGCAAGTGCGCTGCCCAGCATTATCCTCACCTCAACTGAACTGATATACCGGCCCCGTAATATACGAAGCAGTAGGGTAATAAAATACTCTACTAATACTATCCCTGCGTATGGAGCCATGCAATGCACTGCACTCCTACTACTCGTGCTACGCTAGCTGCTGCACTGCACCTGCACTCAACGTCTGATGAAACTTGAAATGTGCTCGATCGCCTGCTGGGTCTGGGTGTAGACCCTGCAGTGCCATTGCAAATTGCCTCTGAAAGTCTGAATTCCTGAAGCCAGTGGTGGAGGACCTGAGCTGAGAGTCAGGCCGGCCAGCCACCAGCCAGAGATCCGCTGCGCCCGTTAGAACAGAATTAGCGAGCAAACACGATACAGCTCAAGCTGGACGGATCATGCCCAGCCACGGGCGGCTCCCAGCCAGTACGTCGCCGTGCCACTGCCTGCCGTGCCGTCAGTCAATGCAGCCTGCGCTCTGCTCTGTCTGTCGACCTGTCTAATCCTATCAATGCAGACAAGCATAGCTAGGCTGCCCGCGCTGCTGCTGCTGCTGCTGGCTGTGGCTGGTCAAGTCACTCAACACTCATCAGTCCAGCTCAGCTCTCTCAGGTCAGATTAGGTGCCTGCACTACACTGCACTGCGTTGCATTGCATCGCATCTCCATGCAGTCCAGAGCTGCTGCGTCCATGCCATCTCCACGCCATGCGTGCTTGCTTGTTTTGACGTGCGTAGTAAACTCCACTCCACTCGCCGGCCATCAGCTTCTTTGCTTGTCTGGGAAATCGGTGCATGGCATAGAGGAGAGGAGCCAATGTGTCCATCGGCGCTGATATTGTATGAAGCTTATGACCAAGAATTAATTCTATATTCTATATTATTATCAGAGCATCTTCGAGAGACATTCTAAACTCCACACTCCATAACTTCATTTGGCTAGCCACTCCATAAAAATTGTCTCTTGGAGATGTTCTTAAGCCCTGTTAAGCTTGAACTTATCACCATGTTACAAGATTTTTCTCTTACAACAAATCAACAAATAGTATTTTTCAGCTGGCTTTTCAACGGCGAACAGGTTTTGAAAGTTTTAAAATGAACACCGAGTACAGTATATGAGTATACTCCACCTTTGAGAGTTTTGAAATGAACACCGAGCATGGTACGGTCGAGGCCGCCAAGCTGCGTGGGGAGGTGCTTTGGTGGTGCGGGGCGCCTGCTGAGGACGTCTGAGTGCCCATCACGCCAGCAGGAGTGCAGGGCAAGAGCGCCGCCATGGGAGCGGCGGCGACGGTGGATCGAGATCAACAAGAGATGCCAGCAGAGGAGGAGCGCCGTCGTCGGCTCATCAGCACGAGCAGCGGCAGAGGCCGTCGACGTCGTCCTACGACGACCACTCCAACTACAAGCCTCTCAGCTGGAGATGCAAGTGCGGCGGAGGCTAGCAGATATACCATGCTCGCTTTATCGTATAAGTCATGCTTATCAGACATGATACGGTGTTTTTCTCTAAAAACAAAACAGCATGAGCCGGCTTATAAGCCATGAAAACAATCCAACGAACAGGGTGATAGAAACGATCCATCCAGCGAACAGGGTGATGGCAGCAGCTGAGCTTTTGTTCTATTAGCTTGATGGGCATGCATGCGTCATTTGTCCATACATGGATCGATCAGAGCACGTCTTGTCTTGCAACGTGATGATGTCTTGCATTCGTTGTCGACGGATCCAGTTGCTTGCTATGTGGATGTGGATATATAGTAGTAGAAGTAGCCTGCTATGTCTTGTGTGGCTCTATCCATTGCTTTTCTTAGCGACTTGTTAGCGAGTTTAATGAGGAGATGTGCTACTTAATCAATAAGCTAGTGTTTTGCTTAAGGCTACGACGAATGGATTTGCATTTTGTTACTTTATATAATAATAAGCATCATTAGACAAAAGTATATTTTTGTAAGAAAACTATTTGGAGACAAAAAAAATGTCTATGAACTTATCAAACTTACTTCCTCGTTCCCATAAAAAGTGTAATTCTCACTTTTGTAGAAGTCAAACGTTATTAACTTTGGCCAAATATATATATATAAGAAATATTAATATTTAGGATGCATAATTAGTATCATTAGATTAATCGTTGAATATATTTCCATAATAAATTTATTTGGAGATATAAATATTGCTAATATATTTTTTTATATAAATCTAATTAAACTTAAGAAAGTTAACGAGCAAAAATCCCATAGAGACACTTTTCTTTAGGACGGAGGGAGTATGTAAGAAAAGTTGACTTATTTCCACGCCTAGAGCCGCATTCCATCCATTTGTAATCGGGGAGTATATATATTGCTAAAAAAAGGAGTCATGGGGATGTTTGGATTATAGCCACACTCGGCCGCACCAGCTCTGGCGGCGCCACACTTCTGTGGCGGGGTTATGTAACACCCCGGTGTTATGCCTACATTTAGGCACTGCAAATCATGCATATCATGCATCATCAAGCATCCTAATCATACATGAATAATCTTGCATATAATATCTGAAACATTACTTCGAAACATACGAAACATGTTTGTGAAACGTAAATGATGCATACACTTATTAGAGTTGTTTTGCTCTGATTCTTGCTTGCTAGGTTAGTAGAACATGTTTGGCTGCTATTGTAAATCATCTAGCAATGTTTAGTTCAATTTTTGGAGCAATGTTTGTATTCAAATTAATTCAAAATTCGGCTTCAAAAATAAATTCCAAAAATTAGGGTTTTGAGCTAAACGTGGACTTTGATCTTCCAATTCAAAATCTAGAAAGAATTTGGCTGTGGTCCTAAAAGCAAAGTTGTAGAGAATTAAATTCTAAGCAACTTTCATTTTTGGTACATTTTCAAAAGAGGTCATCTTCTTACTCAAAATAAGATTTGAAAGCTGGCTTTTAAAAAGTTCTTGAAAATATAAATGAAAAAGATGTTTTCTGTTAGCGGGCCGCCGCCTCAGCTCA